GGCAGGCGTGGAAGATTGTATTATGCAAATTTACACTCCAAGTCAGTTAAAAACGAAAACGTTACATTGAATACTCTATTTGCACACCATCTTTGAGTCGTCGTGACTTCCAACACTCCATCCTTCTTCCATTCCTGTTGTTGCTTCCTTTCCTTCCTCTGTTGGTACTCCATTTACTTCTTGCTTTTGCTCCATTTGCTTTCCGTTTTCCTCTTGTGACCGTGAGACTTCTTCTTTCACGTCCCTTCTTATACTACTACTTATATCGTTCGTATAAGTAGCACACACCACAGAATAAATCCAAATAAAACTTATCAATTAAATCATAACCTACTTATTAAGATTAGTGAATATACACAGAAGATACACACACACAGACAGTGACACACACACCGAAGTAATAACAAAAAAAATGAAGACATGTAATAAAAATGTTACAACTTTTATTCATACATTGTGTTATCCAATAAAATATACTATATAATATATATATATATATATATATATATATATATATATATATATAAATGTCACACTTCATTGAACAAATTCCCAATAATAATAATAATAATACTAAAACAATAGAAATGATACAATTTTTAACTGTTTTTTCCCCTAATTTTTGGTCAAAAATAATAATAATAATAATATTCCTCATTGTGATCATATTAAAACAGATAAATTAATTAAATGTAGTAAACATTCACTAGTTTCCTTCCTGTAAAATACATCACTGTAAATAAATTAATGTTATTGACGAAAATATCACTGAATGAATGAGTGAATGAATCGTCAGTATTATATTATGATTACGATGATTACGGGGTTGTGAAGATTGTTAAGTTACATATTTTTTGAAACCATGAATCGATCAATGTGTTAGACCACTCCATTAGAAACCTGGAAGCACTGGACGGCCGTTTCGTCCTAGTATCGGACTCATCATTGGCAGTGCGCATCGACAACTCGTTCAACCCGCAGGATTCGAACCCAGGACCTTCGGTATTGTGCGTGAACGCTTAACCATCGTCGGACCACTGAGCCGGTAGCATCTAACGGTGTTAATGTCTAACTTGATCAAGTTCGATGATGTTGAACCTCTCTAATCAGTAAACTCATTCTACAGATGGACTGTATGTATTCATTGAATTGAATACAACTCCATTTTTTAGGCTTTATTCAACTGTAGGTATATATGTATGCTTCTTTCTGTATAGATTTATGACACAACATGATTAAACATGTTATGTTAGAGTTAAATTAGTTTCATACTAAATTTCTGTTCGGATATGTTCATCAAATCATCCTAAGAGAATTATTTTTATAAGTCTAATTCTATTGGTCAATTTCATACTAGTTAATATTATGGTCGTCTTAATGATCAAGTTAGACAGTAACAACGTTAGATACTGGCTCAGTGGTCCAGAGGTTAGGCGATCGCGTGCGAGACCGAAGGTCCTAGGTTCGAATGACTGCGTGGTGGAGGAGTCGTGGATGCGAACTGTCACTGATGAGTCGCATACCAGGACGAAACGGCTGTTTAGTGCTTCCAGGTTTCTAATGGTGGTCTAACATTGATCGATTCATGGTTTCAAAAAGTGTGGATTACTGTTATCATCAATACTCAGGTATTGACGTTGAACCTCTACTCGATGAACTCATTCTACAACTGGACTTTATGTAACATGGAATTGAATACAACTCCATTGTCTTGCTATAAGTGCTCCGATTGTCAAAAAAATTTTTTGGGGGGGCTTTATTCAGCTGAATGTATATTTATATATATGCTTGTTTCTGCATAGATTTTCTGACACAATATGATTAAACATGTTATGTTAGGGTTAATATAGTTTCATACTAAATTTCTGTCTAATTCTATTGGTCAATTTCCTACTGGTCGATATTATGGTCGTCCTAACGATCAAGTTAGACATTAACACCGTTAGATGCTGGCCCAGTGGTCCAGCGGTTAGACGTTCACACGCAAGACTGAAGGTCCTGGGTTCATATCCTACGAGATGCATGAGTCGTGGAAGCGCACTGCTGATGAGTCACATACCAGGAAGAAACTGTATAAATACACATTATCTGTAAAGTCTTATGACCCGGACCAGGATCCCTAGTCCAGGATCCTGATTCTCTTCTGGACTCGGACCTGGTACTTTCTGGATGTTTGTAGAAGACAGATTCTACTACATATCAAGTCTTCTTCATTTACTCAATGGGGGTTTGCTACAATTGGATTAGAGTAGCCTGTCGTGTCACGGGTCCTCGATCCCTCTCTCTCTCTCGTTTTCCGACTGTCGTAAACTCATAATAGTTTCAAGCATATCAAATGACGTGTTTACGTGCATGCGTAACAATAAATAATAAGAATACAAGATTGCATAATGTGACTACTAGAATGTACATAACTAGTAATTTTCAAATTGATAATTTTTTCATATGAACTAGTGAATAAGATAATCAAAATATTTCCGTCTGTTTAGTTGATGATTTTTTCTAAAGAGAAATGAAATGATGTGGGATGCAACAATGGTAAAATATTTTTACATGGCCGTTTCATCCTGGTATGGGACTCAACAGCAGTGCGCATCCACGACCACTGTATCTCACAGGATTCGAATCCGGGACCTTTGGTCTTGTGCCTGAACGCCTAACCTCTGGACCACTGAGCCGGCTAGCATCTAACAGTATTAATGTCTAACTCTGATTGATCCAGAGGCTTTTTTCAGGTGCCGTAGATGTGCACTGCTGATAAGTCCCATACCAGGATGAAATGGCCATCTTCCAATGCTTTCACATTTCTAATACTGTGGTCTAACAATGCTTGATTGATGATTTCAAATGTGTAAAAAAAACACTGATCTCCATAACTCTAATTTGAAAATAGTAGAATATTTATTTTGTTGTACAAAGTTCAATCTTTATATCATGACTTTTGAAAGCTTTTGTTGTTTTAAAGAGTCAAAAGTTCAGGAAATTTTTGGTAGATTTGAATAAAATTCTATACAAACATGTAGATGAGCAGAGAAATCAGAGGTCAGTCAAATAGTTCACAATATAAAACCGTAACTTCCCTTTTTTAAACCTTGTTAAACTAAACTGAATTATATACTAAGAATATTTCTATTGAAATCGAACTATTTATGTGATTGTAATGAGATCTATTTTGTCTGTAAATGATTGGTAATAGCTGACACTCAGATTAAAGTTACCGTAATTTATGAATAGTTTGTTTACCGAAAAATGTATTAAATTTACTACTAAATATTTGTAGTTTTTGTATGCCACTGATTGATTTTAGCTAGATATGAGATTTTTTTGACAATGGCGTTTCCTCGCTTTCATCAAGAACCTAATACATGACTAATCCAGGTGGAGTTATCCTATCTTATATATAGCGTCTAATGAATGACCGATTTTACATTGTGACTAAATTGAATTCTCGAACAGTACACTACACTGAGACTAGATCATGATAAACCAGACACATGATTCACGTCCAAAATAGAGAACTAGGGGACTTCATACAAGTACTTAAAATTCACAATCAATGAATCCGGAGTAGAAATCAATAAGAGGCACTGAAATCACATTTTCGTGTGACTGACTGGTAGTCAGTAGGCTATGCCTGTTTGTCCACGCTCGACAGCTAATCACATTTTCCCCTCATCACCACACATCAAACTGAAGTGAGGTTGTGATCACCTATTAACTATAGATGTTATTTCACTAAGTAGTCAGTGTCGCACAAAGTAATTTTCATCGTATTCAAGCTAGAAACTGTCATATGAACATTTTTCTCACCAATCATAACTCTGTTAATAAAGAGTTGTATAACGTATGGTTGGCCTCTCATCATAGTTGAACGACAAGGCTAATATTTCTCACACAAATCCTTCTTTGATATGAACTATTTGATTTCTTTGCCTTGATGTTTTGAGTATGTGACCCTCGTGTTATCGGTTTAGTTGCAATAGTCCTAATGAACTCAAAAGGCAGTTGAAGCTTGGTAATATTATATGGATGGCGGTTTGTTCCAAAGTAATGAGGTTATTGGGACCATCTGTTGTAACATCACTAAGCCATTATTTAGTTAGAGACATAACTTATCAAAAGTGTAACGAAATATGATGAAATTAATTGTTATAACAACAATCTGTTTTATGGTTTATTCAAGGCTCGATCCAGAGATGATGTTTACTAAAAATAACTGTGATTGTGTTAGCTAACAGATCACGAAAGGGTGTAACTGTCGTGTGATAAGGACGTCTGACTGTACATTTTTATGGGAAATCAACGTTTAACTCTAGATAGTATTGTGGTGTGAGCTACTTATAAGTAGTATATAACATGAGTGTCAACCTAATGTCTGGCAGCAGAAGATGGGGGGAAGATCAAGAAAGGAAGAGTTAGAAGAACACAATGGAATTTGTATGAAACGCATGAATAGTGAGTGACAATGGATTGATGTTTTGCAACAGGAACAACAGTCCAGTTCGATATGATGAACTGATATTTTGCAAATGAACGATTTACGATATGGTTTTCCGATTTTACACTGAGTAACTCTATAATTTTTTTGTTAAATACAGTTCGGTTGCCCCACCTGTGTTCTCGTTCACTACAGTATGACAGCTTAGAAATGACTTCTGTTGCCAGTTAGCCTAAATAAGATCACTCCTAGTTCTTCTACAATTGAACAAGAACAAGCCCAACTTGTGATGATATCCATCTTTAATGGCTGAACTCAGTGTGGTTGAGTCAGTTTAAACAAATCTTTTAACTGTAGAGTTAGTCAAATATCAAATAAGTCACATAAAAGTTTTTTTTTTTATAAACGTCTGATCAGCATTTCTATGTATTATTCAACCTTTGAAAGGAGAATAATTTTCGAGTATTATAATTTTAATGCTATCGCTTACATCTTTTTTTGAAAAATCATCTTAAAAACCAAAAAAGTATACTGATTTATCATAATTTATACTTTTATTCAGATATAACACGTAATAGTAGCTTATCAGACAATGAACCACAATTTCAAACAACTGATCATTATTCACAACAATCACAATATCCTCCTCCCTATCAAGATCTTCGTGGACCAACTAGACCAATTCGATCACGTTTTATGGATACACGACGACATGGTTCATATGATCCTCAAATGAATAATGCTAACTACTTGGCAGCGCGTCATGATTCTGATTATGCACGTCCTATGGCACCAACAGATTCCTATACATCTGGACCACCAAAAAGACCATTTGGTTTTAATATGGTATCGCAAGCACCTGGTCCTATAGGTCAACATGATTATAGACCTGCACTGAATCAAGTCAATGTTAAAAATTATAGATCAGCTGATCAAGGAAGTCAAGCAGTTGCGCCACAACAACAATTATCATCTCAATATTCACGTCCGAGTAAATCGTTTATACAAAATGAACAACAATTTAACAGAAATCAACGAAGTAAGAATTGCTTTAGTACATAAGTTATGTAATGAATGATATAACACATTTGGTACTTGACAGTTTTAGAATATTTGGTCAATATTTTTTAACAAGTGAACTTTTGAACATTTTGATCTGGCATTAAATGTGATTACAATTGACTCTTGTTTAGTGATTTAGTGAAAAATAATGTCTAGCACATTCAAACTTTGTTTCTTCTCGGGGAACACTGGGATAGTTAGTTATACCTTGCCTATCGTGATGATCCAGGCGAGCTATATTGGCTGGAACATATGTCCCTTTAGGTTCTGCCAAGCTTGGCAGGTCGCTTGGATAACGATGAGACTAAAAGCAGCTACTCAATGTGCGGGGGCGAAGTCGTACCGCTGACTGCAGAGGGGTGTGACAGCAGTAAGGTGTTTCCCTCGGACAACCAGCATCTTCAGCGATGTTGCCTTCTCACAAGGAAGGAAGGGGTTAGAAAAGGTCGACCCTAAAAATGTCACACCTCACCTTACCTCACTGATTTCTGTCTCCGGCAGTAAGGGCTTTTAAACAAGAACGAAGTTAACACTTTAAATACTACCCATAAAAAGGCCGTGACCGGCCTCAAGCAGTTGTCCCATGGGCTCTGCGGCCATGCTTCCAGATCTCTAAGACTGATACGAATCTACCTTCCTTTTCAGGTTCAGGAAACCCAAAATCAGTTTACGCAGAATCTTATTTAAGCAAGTACTAAAGAACGAGAAATTTTGGTGCAGTTTTGCTCTCTGAGCTGGAAAGTTTGGTCGTAGAGCTTTCGTTGTTGTTCTGAACAACATTACGAACACAAACTTCAATTAGAAGTGATGTATTCAAATTTCTCCACCTATAAATCGTAGTTTGTCCTGTCCTACTTAGATCTTGATCAGTTGTCAATACCTTTAATATGGTGTTATCTGCCTTTTTATTTTGATTGTTCGGGTGTTGACAGTAACTATTATCGAAGACTGTGTATGAGGTTGCGCAACTCCGTGAATTGATCAAGTTAGACATTAACACCGTTAGATACCGTCTCAGTGGTCCGATGGTTAGGCGTTCGCGCACATTACCGAAGGTCCTGGATTCGAATCTTGCAGGGTGCAGGAGTCGTGGATGCGCACTACTGAGGAGTCCCATACCAGGACGAAACGGCCATCTTTCCAGGTTTCTAATGGTGGTGGTCTAACATTGATCGATTCATGGTTTCAAAAATGTGTAATTAAATTTCTATCCAAAGCTATGTATTAGTTTATAGTGACTACTGAGTCAATGTAAATTCCTTGAAATCCTGAATCGATTCAAGTCAGAAAATTCTTCAAAACCTGGAAGCACTGAATAACCCATTGAGTCCTAGTATGCCACTCCTCAGCAGCGCTCATCAACAATCCCACATGTGGGAATTGAACTCAGGACCATCAGTCTCGGTAGCGATCACTGAGTCGGTATCCAATACTGTTAATATCCAATTAGAATCAGTTCACGATATTGAACTCCAGTCGAAGTCCAATAGTCAGACTCCGAAAATTTTCTCTTGTTGCAAATGAAAATTAACATTCAATGTGTTACGTCTGCACGTAAACACGTCAACTTAATATACTTGAACTATTACGAGTTTACCTGATCGGAAACGCGAGAGCGAGGATCGAGGATCCGGTGACATGATATGCTACTCAAATCCGATTATCCCAACCCCCCATATTTAGTTAAAATAAGAAGACATGATATGAAGTAGGACGTGTATTCTACAAGCATCCAGAAAGGACGAGGTCCGAATCCAGAAAAGAATCAGGGTCCTGGACTAGGGATCCGGGACCGGGTCCTGGTCCTGGTCCTGGTCGTGGTCGATAACCGTTACAGATAATGCGTATTTATACATTTTGGTCGAATAGGAAATAGCATCGAATTCTGTGGCATTGATAGTTAAGACGACCAATAAGAAGCAACACTTGTAGTGTGTGACATTGACAGTTAAGACGACCAATAAGAGACAACATTGAAGTATTTGACTTTGACTGTTAAAACGACCATAATTTTGACCAATAGAAATCGATCAATATGATTTGACCAATAATTCTCTTAGGATATTGGATGAATATCCTAACACAGTGACAGTGAAAATTACTGAATCTCATTGAACATGTAAACTAATATCAGTTAGATAACAATTGAAAACTGAAGGTCCTGGCTGTGCACCACTAGATCCTGTAGTAAGATGAAATGGCTGTCCAGTTCTTACAGGCTTATAATAGTTATCGAACTTAAATCTGTTTAGGATTTCACTAAAATTCAATTATCTTTATCAACCTTTTACTGGTAATGCAAATTTATCATGAATATTCCTCTTTTTAAATATTTACTCTACACTATTTAGATATCACTGATGATTATTCCAGTCGTGGTGAATCGAAACCAATTCATGTGGTAGTGGCCTTGTATGATTATGATCCTACAACTATGTCACCAAATATTGATGGTGCACAAGAAGAATTACCATTTCGTGAAGGACAATTAATTAAAGTAGATTGATTGATTGAATGAATGAATGAATGTTTTTTCTCTTCCTAATTAATGATGATCTGTTTTCTTTCGTTTTTTTCGAGTGAAAAAAAAGAGTCCCAATGTGGGGTTCTTTTCTGTGTTCTTTGATCGAAATCACATTTCTAACTCCATTCATGAAAGAAGCTTGAATTTCTGTAAGATTTTTAATTTACACATTTTTGAAACCATGAATCGATCAATGTTAGACCACCATTAGAAACCTGGAAGCACTGGACGGCCGTTTCGTCCTAGTATGGGACTCCTCAGCAGTGCGCATCCACGACTCCTACAGCCCGCGGGATTCGAACCCAGGACCTTCGGTACTGTGCGCGAACGCCTAACCATCGGACCCCTCAGTTGGTATCTAACGGTGTTAATGTCTAACTTGATCCATTCACGGAGTTGCGTAGCCTCAGTCGTCTAATGGTTAGGCGTTCGCGCACAATACCGTAGGTCCTGGGTTCGATTCATTGGGGGTGCAGGAGTCGTGGATGCGCACTGCTGATGAGTCCCATATCAGGACGAAACGGCCGTCTTCAGTGCTTCCAGGTTTCTAATGGTGTTTAACATTGATCGATTCATGGTTTCGAAAATGTGTAACTTAACAATCTTCACAATCCCGTAATGCAGATATTTAATTGCTGATAGACGAATAGTAATGTTTACAGGTCATAAATACTGATTTTGTATATCTTTCATTCTATGGACTCGGTGATGGGTGGTCTGTTCACTCTGTTGGTTATGAGCGATGCTATGAAATGAATCTTCCCTTCAAATTTACAGTTTATCATTCTTAGGTGAACCCCATTTGTGCGATGGCGGTAATAAGAAACGGAATACCGGAACGACTGAATGAGTTCATTCTATGCAATCATTCACGCAAAAAGACATGAGAAGGAGAGCCAGCTAACTCATTGCGATAAGGTGTGACCAAGTATTTGTAGTCAGTCAAAAAATAGGCTAGTGTTATGATCGTCTCTAGGTATATTTGAAACTTTTATGGGTTCACCTTAGTCGATAAACAAGAACAAGACAATGAACCAACGTCCAGGTAGGCTGCTGTGATCCGTTGACCCATAAGAAGTCTTGATATAGCGTAGAAAGTGTATTCTACAAACACCCAGCCAGCACGATGATCTCAAGCACACAAATCGCGTTTATTTATACAGAGTAGGGTTGCAGAACACCAGTCGTCAGCCTATGCTCCATTAGGGATGACAACAGTCATTAGTACAGTAAAAGTAAGCAGCATGAAATCTAGGTAACCAACAGTTTTTTTGTTTTGAAAAGAAGTTCAACTTGTATGTAATTTATCTTTATTTATCATGTAAATAATTCATATTCTTATTATTCTATCGAAATTTTAAATTTTGTATTTGTGATTCATGTACTTACTTACTTACTTACTTACGCCTGTTACCCCCAATGGAGCATAGGCCGCCCACCAGTTTTTCATGTAGTCACAAGTTAATTATTAATTAACTTATAAATCTGTGTTATTCACGTTAGTATTCTTATCATGTAAATAGTTTTTAACTGAACACTGTTCTGTTAAAACATTGTAAGTCTTACATCCAAGGCTTTTCCTGGTGGGAAATGCGATCTTAAGGTCAACTGATCAGCACATGCTCGGAAACATAAATCCAAAATTAAAGCATTTATCAAGCGAGTTCTGGGATCTAGCGTCCCCAACTGCTAGCCATGTAATAACCAAAGTGGGCGTGAACATGAACCAAATTGTAAGTGAATAAAATTAACAAGATCGAAAGACATGGGAATAACTTGAGAAGAACGAATGACTTGACATGTCAAGTCCACACCTACAGGCTTAATGTACATATTATATAATCACTTGATTGATAGGTAATGTTAATTTACTAAAAGATATAAATACATAAATACCGATAAGCCGAGTGTATTCTTTACATTCATTCAAAGCAAAGAATGAAACAATTTTTAATGAGAAAATATTCAATTTCTTCAACCGGATTTTATAAGAATATTAGGGGGTGTAGGACACTACTTACAACATAGTTTCTAAGTAGTATGCAGCGTAGTGTTGCCCAAAAGTTACTAATGCAGAGAGAAGAGTTTATGAAACAGTTCGAATAAAAGTCTAAAGATAAGATGTACACATTTCGTTAGCAGCCTGGTTTTGTACGTGGAGATACTAAGAATGGCAGATCATTAGATGAAGTAGTGAAACTTCATCAGTTGAGGTGGTTCGGACATGTGCTGCGTATGCCTAACCACCGACTGCCTTGACGAGCTTTGTTTTGTAGTGTAGGAATAGGTTGGAAGAAAGTTAGGAGTGGCACAAATCCATGAAGTCACTGACAAGTGGACTGAGTCATGTTGGTAGGTGTAGACTACCGTGGTTGGGGCCCGTGAGATGGTAGTAATCGATGGTTAGAGACACTAAATGACATGGCTCAAAACCGTTTTCAATGGCGCAGGTACATCCATTCTTTGTGTTCTCTCAAATTTGAATCTTTTGGATTCTTCAACACCTCTAGCTTTTACTTTCTAAACTTTTCTCACTGAATCATACTTCTTGAATAATATCTTCTAATCCTAACCTCTCCGATTACTTCTAATACCTTTACTATCTCTACTACTATTGGATTTGAATTGACAATTATATCTCTGTGCTGATTTGGTATGGCAACATGAACTGATGTACTTACTGTTGGGATAGTCAATCGAGAATAAAGCCACGCATATTGTGGAATTAATGAACTATTTGATTTTTGTTCAAAATAAACTATTTCATTAATGATGAACTATATGATTAATGTTCATGATAAACTATTTCATTAATGATGAATTATATGATTAATGTTCATGATAAACTATTTCATTTATGATGAACTATATGATTATCGTTCCTGACGAACTATTTGAAGCATGTTCAAATAATTAACGACTTTTATATAATTGTATAAATACGCATGTTTGATTGTATATTTTTGATTCTGACAAGAAGTGTTCTACAACGTCTTCCGTCTTCTTTCTTTGAACGGAGGGGTCTAACGTTCGGGTGTCATTAGTACGGTGGTTGACGTTACATCAAGTACAAAACATAAAAGTGGCGACGGGGTAAGAACCATATCCACAAAACATAAAAGTGGCGACGGGGCTTACAATTCACAATGTCAATTACCCTTGAACAGATAGAATCTTTATTGGAACGTCAAGGAAAACGATATGAACAGTTCCAGGAACGTATGTTGGAGATGTTAATGAAACAAATGAATTTGAATCACAGAGGTTTTGCCGAAGATTCATATAATCCGCATACAGACTCGATAGTTAATTCCATTCATGAATTTCATTTTGATGGCCTTGCTGGTGTGACTTTCGAGTCTTGGTTTAAGAAGTATGAGGATTTGTTCAAGGTCGACCTCAACAATCTTGATGACGCCACCAAAGTCAGAATCCTTTTGATAAAGCTCGGCACAATCGAACACGAACGTTATAGTAATTTCATCCTCCCAAAGAACCCACGAGATTTCTCTTTTGATGCTACAATTGATACGCTGTCGCAAATCTTCTCTGAACAGTCATCTCTCTTTAATATTCGTTATCAATGCCTCAAAATAATCAAGTCAAATGAAGATGACTGGGTAAAGCATGCTGGCTTAGTAAATCGTGAATGTGAACGATTTAAATTATCATCAATGACGGAAGATCAGTTTAAGTGCCTTGTGTTTGTGTGCAGCTTACAATCTCCCGACGATGCTGATATAAGAACCAGAATCCTAAGTAAAATTGAACAGTGCCCAAACATCTCGCTTCAAGAAATAACTGCAGAGTGCCAGAGATTAGTAAACTTGAAGCATGATACCTCCATGGTCGAAAACAATGGCCTCTCATCATACGTGCATTCCATTAGTGAAAAGAAAAATTCCGTCTCACAAAAGCATCACAAGAGCACAGACAACCAGCCCTCATCTCCATGCTGGTCATGTGGAGGTTGGCACTACAAGAAGTTTTGCCCATACAAAGATTATGTTTGCTCTAAATGTCACAAAAAGGGTCACAAAGAATCTCGATGTAGGACAAAAACTCGCAGACATTACTCCGCGAAAGTCGATTCCAAGAAATACAGTTCTGGTAAGACAATAAACAAAGTATTGTTGTCTCATAATCAGACAAGAATTCACCAAAGAAGAAAGTATGTGACTTAGGATATGAATTCACACCGTATCCGTCTTCAACTGGACACAGCATCTGACATCACCCTTATCAGTCCAAAAACTTGGGAGAAAATTGGAAGACCTACAGTTCACCCTACGAAGCAACTAGCACACAGCGCATCTGGTGGCAAGTTAAATATTGTTGGAGAAATACTGTGCACTGTTTCAAAAGATGGGACAACAACAAGTGCAAATGTATACCTAACTAAAAACCCAGACCTTGAATTATTGGGGTTGGATCTCATAGATGCATTAAAATTAACAGACCATTCTATCAACAGCATCTGCAGCCGAGTAAGAATCAATAACCCTTTAGAGTCAAATCCGGGAAATGCCATTATAGAAAGGCATCATCACGTATGTCCAGAAGCGTTGGGCGAATGCACAAACGCCGCGAAAACCCCTTCGAAATGCGAGCCTCAACAATGGCAGAAACCTACGGGACCTTGGGAAAGAATTCATGCAGATTTCGCTGGCCCAATCCAAGGTAAAATGTTCCTAATTATTGTAGATGCGTATACAAAATGGCCAGAAATATACAGCATGCCGAATTGTACAGCCTCAGAAACTATTCAGAAGCTGTCCACCTTATTTAGTTGTTTCGGAGTGCCAGAAACCTTGGTAACTGATAATGGATCACAATTCGTTGCCGACTCATTCACGCGATTCTGCAGTTCAAACGGCATAACGCATCTACGGTCCCCACCTTACCACCCCCAATCGAATGGACAGGCTGAACGCTTCGTGGACACTTTCAAAAGAGCTTTACTGAAAGGGGGAGATGAGGGACCAACTAGCCAAGTAATCACGAGGTTTTTAACGGCTTACAGAAGCACTCCGAACCCTATGGTCCCAGAGGGGAAGTCTCCAGCCGAAGCGATGTTTGGAAGACGTATTCGGACTATTTTTAACGCGATGTTGCCCCCTAAAAGAGCGAATAGATATAGGCCAAATCAAAATATTCGCAGCTTCAACGTGGGCGATAAAGTGTTCCTAAAAACATATCGTGGTAAAAATCAATGGGAACCAGGAACAGTCGTCCAAAGACTAGGAAGAGTTTTGTATCGAATCATAGGAGCTTTCGGAAGCTGTGTTAGACACACGAACCAAATGCGAAGGGATCAAAGAATGGCACGCTCGGGTGATAATCGCGTGAATCTACCCCTAGAGTTGATCACAGAACCGACAACTGCACATTTGCCCCGGAATGCCGAAGAAAAGGGAAGGTTGGAGACATTAACTCGAAACCCCATAACCAGAATGGAACGCCGCCGCAAACCAGTCGTAAGACTACAAGTGGACCCAAGAAAAAAATCTTATTCCGGGGAGGTGTTGGGATAGTCAATCGAGAATAAAGCCACGCATATTGTGGATTTAATGAACTATTTGATTTTTGTTCATAATAAACTATTTCATTAATGATGAACTATATGATTAATGTTCATGATAAACTATTTCATTAATGATGAATTATATGATTAATGTTCATGATAAACTATTTCATTTATGATGAACTATATGATTATCGTTCCTGACGAACTATTTGAAGCATGTTCAAATAATTAACGACTTTTATATAATTGTATAAATACGCATGTTTGATTGTATATTTTTGATTCTGACAAGAAGTGTTCTACAACGTCTTCCGTCTTCTTTCTTTGAACGGAGGGGTCTAACGTTCGGGTGTCATTAGTACGGTGGTTGACGTTACATCAAGTACAAAACATAAAACTTACGTACGAAGTTCTACGTTGCATCTGACTGACTGACTGATTCTAAAAGCATTAGCAACAACTAAGTCAGAAACAAAATCTTCTCTATTGGATTGATTTAAAACTTGTTACAAACGAAAATCAATATACTCACTTCCGATCAAAACAAACTGATAATGTTATCCAAAAAATAATCAAATTCTTGAGTTTTTGCCTATTTTTCTACGTGATTGATATCAATTCTATGGAATAGAGAGAGATGTTCGTTAACCCGTACAACTTTATTTTAATTGTGAATATTCAATCGTCAAGTATGAAGGGATGTATTTTGATCAATAAGCTTTTCTGTCTTGA